TCTGGCGGGGAGGAGGGGGCCCTGCTGGCCCGACGGGAGCCGCTAAGGGAAAAAGTTTCTGACGTCCGTGCACGCGGCGCGCGCACACCTAATGTGTAATGGACGTGAACAATCACTCGAAGAAGAATATTCTCTATTCAGATTGTACTTCCCAAAAAACAAAACAAAAACACACCTTGACAGAGGCAGATTTTTCTCAAATGTTTACTGTTCATTCTCAGATTTCTACTCATGGTGGGTTTCAAACTTCAAAGTTGCTAGAATGTGAACTTAACAAAATGCTATTTTTTTCCCTGGGGTCTGTATCTTGCTGAAATGACCTACATTTGCATAGCTAACCCTACCCTCTAAACTGATAATCTGTGTAAGCATGCGGGTTTTACAGCATTTAGAAGAGTTGTCCTTTACACAGGAAGGGCTTCCCAACCTTAGCTAAAGAAGAGCTAGCACTTCATTATAATATTCTATGAAATTATAGGGAGAATGGAGCAGAGGGGCTCTACACATCCATCAGCAGTACAGCAGGCTCAGAGGGGTGTTAAGTGGCTCATTAATTTCAATGAGATTCTCAGCTGAACAAATAACCAATGCAGATAAATACAGCCTAAAACAATGGCTCTGAGAAGTATGACCCCCCAACCTCCATTCATGTCAGTGGGTGTTCCCTTCCTTCCTCCCCAGTGCTGGAGAGTTTCTGATATGCATCAAGCATAATTGTTCTCAGCTCCTTACCCCAGTGTCAGCACTGTGTTTTGGGAGTATGCTCTGAACAGCCTGTCTGTTCTAAGCTCCCCATCCACAGGGGCAGGGCTTTCCCAGGTTCTGGCTCATATGTGGGGGTTAGGGAGAGGGGCTCAGATCCCCTTAGAAGGACAAGGCATCCCAGATCACCTGAGGGGAATAGGAAATGGGGCTCAAGCACCTCCAGAACAGTTAGCCCCCTCCAGAACCTGGCTCACAAGGGGGACATGGAAGGGAGGTCAAACCCCACACATAGGCAGGGAACCCCAGATCCCAGCTCACATGGCGGATAGGGAGAGCAGCTCAGAACATCCCACTCCCCAAATAGGCAAGCCTCCTCCAGAAGCTGGCTCACATGTGGAGGGGCAGAGAAAGGGGTCATACCCCGTAGATGGGTTGGGGAGGGTCCCAGATTGTGGCACACATACGGGAGAGAATGTGGGGCTGACAGGTGCCCGTGCCCCTATCCTCTCCCCACGTTCTTCTTCCCAGTGTCCCAAGCCCTCCTCCATTCCCTAGGGCATCATTTCAGATTTTGGTGGGGGGGGGGAGCAACTTTAACCGTGATACCAAAAAAAGAAGAACAGGAGTACTTGTGGCACCTTAGAGACTAACAAATTTATTAGAGCATAAGCTTCCGTGGACTACAGCCCGAAAGCTTATGCTCTAATAAATTTGTTAGTCTCTAAGGTGCCACAAGTACTCCTGTTCTTCTTTTTGCGGATACAGGCTAACACGGCTGCTACTCGTGATACCAAAGGCTACTTAGGCACCTGAAAACTCTAGGGTTTTTTTTTTGCAGATAACAACTTAGAAATTAGAAAAAAAAGAAGATTTAATAAATATTAGACCCACTCAGATCTAATACTAATATGTTCTCACATCTTGTGTCAAGTCACTTAAGGAACACGAGTTA